TAAAAATGGAACTCCCATTTGACCCAGTGATCCCACTTCTAGGAATATATCCTAAGAAACTAGAAACACCAATCAGAAAGGATATATGCACCCCTATGTTCATAGCAGCACAATTCACCATAGCTAAGATTTGGAAACAGCCTAAGTGCCCATCAGCAGATGAGTGGATTAAAAAACTGTGGTACATCTACACAATGGAATACTACGCTGTGGTAAAAAAGAAGGAACTCTTGCCTTTTGCAACAACTTGGATGGGACTGGAGAGCATTATGCTAAGTGAAATAAGCCAGTCAGAGAAAGATAAATACCGCACGATCTCACTCATTTGTGGAATATAGAGAACAACATAGAGTGATGAACAGGGACAGATCCAAAGACAGAGAAACAGCAATCAGACTATTAATCCCCAGAGGGAAAGTAGGGGAGGGTGGGGGTAAGGGGAAGAAATCAACCAAAGGACATGTATGCATGCATATAAGCCAAACCAATGGACATGGACAACAGGGGGATGAGAGCATGAGTGGAGCGGGGGAGGATGGGGGTTAATAGGGGGGAATGAGGACACATTTGTAATTCCTTAACTAATAAAGAATTTAAAGATTTAAAAAAAATTAGGTTTATCTATGGCTCTATGTTTGCAAATGTGGACTGAAGTACTGGTGCTGTAAGTCTCCCTTTATCCTCACTGCCCAGCACAGTTGATCAGTCCTTTTATGAATTAAAAGTCTCTGGCTCTTGTTTTTCTCACAAGTGAGGATTATCTTGTGTCAATTAAGGACAAATGGAAAGTATTTGTATTGAACACACGTCCTTTGTAAGTGGAAGCAGGAACAAGCTCATAGTTTCTCAGAAATAGACTATATGTCAAGAAAACAGCCCTTTCTGTTTAGAATATGAATTCTGTGCAGTTTTCCTGCCTTTTTTTTTTTTTTTTTTTTTTGCATGTGATTCTGTTTGAACACCATTCTAGGGACTTTTTCTTTTACATGCTGGGTAGAGAAAGGTATATTTCGTCTCTTTCCAGTTTACTTGGAGTTGCAGTCTTCAGAATACTTGTATTATTCTAAAGGATAGTCACAGATCAAATTAATTTATATGTTAGTATTCTTGCATTAAAAATCCATATGTGTTTATGTGCTTAGGGATGTCAAAGGCTGTTCAGACAGACTCTGAATTTCAGGTGTCTGATGTTTTTATACTCAGCTGCTTTTCAGAAGCCCTCCTCCATGCAGGATGTTCTAGGGCACTCAGCAGCAGGAAGTCATTGATTCAACTGGGGTCACTGAGTCTCATATACAATGGAGGCAGGACCAATAATCAGCAGCACATGTGTATAGTGTGTGTATGTGCTGTGTGCACAGCGCTGTGCTAGGTGCTCAGGGTTGTAGGAAAATCAGACCCTTTCACAGGGGTCGCCTAAGACCATCGGAAAACACATATATAATTACATATTGTTTTTGTGATTAATCACTATGCTTTAATTATTTTCAATTTGTAACAATAAAAATACACCCGATATTTACATTATGATTCATAACAGTAGCAAAATTACAGTTATGAAGTAGCAACGAAATAATTTTATGGTTGGGGGTCACCACAACATGAGGAACTGTATTAAAGGGTTGCAGCATTAGGAAGGTTGAGAAACACTGGTATAGAGTGTGTATGTCCTGTGTGCACAGCACTGTGCTAGGTGATCAGGGGCGGATGAAGATTAATTACACATAGCCATTGCCCTAAAAATGACTTAATCTGGTGGGTGACACTGATTTGCACCCAAATAATAAAAGCAAGTGAATGAATGAGAGAGGGAAGGAGGAGCCCTCATTACTGAAGTAGCCAGTCTCCAAATCTCAAATGGTAACATTTAAAATTTTATCCCTGAGGAACTTATTTTGAAGTCAATGAGAGGAAATAGATTGAATTTTATTTTAAGGGAAAAAAATGGCCTGAAAGTTGTTCTTATTCATATTTAAATTTATTTCTTAACCACCTATTCTGTTCTGTTGTCTATTCTAGTAAACTCAGTACAGCACTTTAAATGACTATTATTTATATTTTGTTTTAATGATAGAGTACATTATTTTCCAGTGCATTGTTTTGGTTCCCCTTACCAACCAATTCTTCTCAGTGAAAATCAGGGGCACTTTGTGAAGTTCCTCCAGAATTGGGATTATATAGGATATAGCAAGCAAATATAAACTGATTTGTAGATACCATTTTTAGCTAATTGCTTTCATTTTGGAGTATGGATTGTTGCTCTACTTATTTAAAACCCTATTTAGGGTTTTATTTGCTTAGCATATTATTGCATTATTATTTCCTTTTTTCTGTTTAATTGTAATTAAAAAAATAACAAAATTTACCATCTTAACTATTTTTATATGTATAGATTAAAAATACCTACATGTTAGTTATATTCACATTGTTTTGCAACAGATCGCTGGAGCTTTTCATCCTGCAAAACTGAAACTCTGTACCCATTAAAGAACTTCTCATTAACTTTCTTCGCCTGCCTTTGGCAACCACTATTCTATTTTCTGCTTTTATGAGTTTGACTACCTGAGGTACCTCATGTAAGTGGAATCATAAAGTATCTGTCTTTCTGTAACTAGATTATTTCACTTAAAATAATGTCTTCCTGGTTAATCCATATTGTGGCATGTGACACGACGTTCTTTTTCCTAAGGCTGAGTACAACATTAAAAAAACACACAAATCTATTCATCCGTTGGTATGGACAAATGGGTTGCTGCTACCTCTTCACTATTGTGAATAATGCTGCAGTGAACAGGGGTGAGCAAATATTTCTCCAAAATCCTGCCTTTTCTTCTTTTGTGTATTACCCAATAGTAGAAATTCTAGATCATATGGTAACTCTGTCACAGGATATTAAGAAGCTAGGAAAATTCTAGGGCAGAAGGAAGAGGGAAACAGAGACAAGAAAGTTAAAGCAAGACCGAACAATGTGGGCAATTTACAGCTGGCCTGCAGATAACAAGCTATTATCTTCCCCAGCCATTAACTCCCTAAGCAGGAAAGCCAGCAGGGTTATGGCTTGACAAGATAAAATTTGTCAGGTGCTTTTCATGAATTCTGGGAAGGCCACAACAAAGTAAAAAGGGAACTTGAGAATTAATCTGTACCAAGATATTCAGCAGAGGAATTTTGAAACCTATAGACACAGGAGGGTATATCACACCTCGGACCCAAACTCAACGCACTCTTCAGATTAGCTGAGAGCCTCTCTGTGCTTCATAAGCCAGATGCATAGATTTGCCTGCCTTGCTTCTTTAATAAAGGTGCATGCTTTAATAAATTGGCTTTATCACAATGCAACCACCTGGAGTTTTCTCATTTAAATTCATTTGTAAGAGATGACAAGAATGGAGTTTGGGGACAGCCCTCTCCCTCTGACTCAGGGCCCTTTGGTGTCTGTGAGAGGTATCTGTCATGACTCTTTTTAATTTTTTGATGAGCTATCATGCAGTTTTCCATAGCAGCTGCACCATTTTTCATTCCTACTTACATTTCACAACAGTTCTAATTACTCCATGTCCTTACCAATATTTGTTGTTTTATTACTTTTTGGATAGTGGCCATCCTAATAGGTGTGAGGTGATATTTATTTGCATTTCTGTAATAATTAATGATATCAAGCATTTTTTCATATGTATATTCCCATTGGAGAAATACATGTTCAACTCCTTTGACTATTTTTAAGCTGGGTTATTTTGAATTTTAGGAGTTCATCCTTAGAAACCAGAATGGATAGATTCCTACACGAGTGACCATAAAAACAGCACTGAAGATCACAAAAAGGGTGTCACAGAGACGCTGATACTTGGCATAATTGGCCAGCTTGGCTGCCTCCAGTAAGAAGTCTGAGGCATCATGTAGACACATGACCAGAGTTCCTACCCGAACCATGTTGTTGATATATGAGAAGGTGATGAGCCCAATGGTGGCCAAGTGATGCACAAACATGATCAGGAAGTCCTAGGAAGGAATGGAAATAGAAGAAGCAGGTATAGGCAAGGCCATAGAGATGCTAGCCAACTCAATGCCCTGCATTGTTCTCTGAAGATCTTATCCCAGCCTTAGAAGTTCCATTTTGTTTAAACTCTCCATTAAAAAGTTGTATCTTTATTGTTGATAGTATTACAGCTATCATCCTTTTTTCCCATTGACCCCCCCATACCCACCTGCCCCCCACAGTTGACATTTTTAGTGTTCAGGGAAACTTAACAAATACTAGGCACATGCTTTTGTCAGAGATAACGCTAAAAATAAGGGTCTTGAATCTTCTCTACAATGAGTAGAAGAAACATCATAAAAACAACAAGGGAGTTGGAATCTAAGGAAATTCATACATCATGATCGACCCCATAATCTCTTGGTCTTAGAATGTTTTTCAGCATAGAAGATCATTTGCGTGTTTAGTTATATTTCTACCTAAGTATTCCATATTTTAAAAACAGCTATTGTAAGTGGTATTGTTTTTTAATTTTTGGTTTCCAATAGTCCATTGTTTTTATATAAAAATAAAGTTGAAAGTGGATTTTTGTGTATTGATCTTGAATCTTACAACCTTTTTAAACTTACAAAGTTGTCCCAAGAGTCATTGTTGTTGATGTTTTTTGCTTTTGTTGCAGATTCCCTGGGATTTTTCTATGTGGATAATCAAAGTGTGTAAGAATAAAGGCAGTTTTATTTTATTCTTTCTGATTTCTTTCTTTCTTTCTTTCTTTCTTCCTTCCTTCCTTCCTTCCTTCCTTCCTTCCTTCCTTCCTTCCCTCCTTCCTTCCTTTTTGCCATATTGTAGGAAGCCTTTCATTATACTGTTTAACAGGAGTGGGGAGACTGCACATCCTTGCTTTATTCCTGTGTTAGGGGCAAAGCTTTCTGTTTTTCATCATTAAGTACGTTAGGTGAAGGGTTTTTTGTAGATTTCTTTTATCAGCTTAAAGAAGCTCACTTTTTCTCAAGTTGTGACATTTTTCCAGATTCTAAAACTGTTTTAGTTATGCCTTGGGTAGAGTGACCAGGGAAGCTCTTTGCCTAAGGTCTTTAGATTAAGATACAACTGTTCCTTCTTTCCATTTTATACTTGAGATCCTTTATTTCTCTCTGAAGTTGTCTGCTCTCATCTTGGAATCCTTCCTTTAGTAACATGGTCTGTTCCTAAAAAGGGACAAATAAAGAGTAAATAAAGTACAGCAGTAAGCAAATCTCAACTTCTAGCTAGTATCCACATTCTTAGTATTTAATTTCTTCTTGAAATTTTCTCCACCATAAATATTCATTATACTTTCTCTTGGACAACCTAGCTTCATGATTGCTTTTCTTGAGTTTCCTTTAGCTAAGAGAGATTTTGGCTTATACCTTCTAATATAGTAAAAAAATTAAATTATAAGTCCCATTAATTCTATACAACATATGTGGGCAATCTTAATCATATGTTTCTTTTCAAATTTTATAGACTCTTTTACACACACACACACACACACACACACACACACACACTCAGACTTTTATATACATACACATGACAGAAATAAAACATTCTCAAAATCAAAGGAAGTGTCCATATCTTAGATTAGGGAATTTGATTTAAGTCTCCACAGCTTGGTGGCAAGAGTAGCAGGATATAAGTAAGGACATCAAGGCCCCTAACTGTCCTTAAAGGATTTCTGCACATAACTCACTACACAAACTAGGCGTAGGGCATAGCAGTCAGGAGTGGCAGACACAGGTGTGAGAGGCAAGGAGTCTTTTTGCTCATAAAGGTTCTCTTAGAACCAAAGTCATACCCGGTGTGACAGAAAAACAGTGATTGTAGATTCCTAAGTGGTGAAGGTGGTTCAGTTATCTTACCAATCTGTGTGACCCTATAAAAGCTCATCTTCTCTGAACCTCTGTTTCTTCTCCTAAGGTATGTACACAGCAATTCTTGCTTCATATAATATTAAGCAAGAGATACAGATAAGACATATTTACAATGCCTGGAAAATAATACCTACCATTGAATGATGAATGTACTAATGAAGGACTGGATGTGAGATAAAGGAAAATAATTTTTTTTAATAACCAGACATAGGCATGTTCCAAGTCAGTCAGATAGACAGGGATTGAAAGGTATAAGTGGGCAAGCAATGTCCTTCCAGGTTTCATGTTCTAATAGCCACACAAACAGGTGGGGAGAGTGAACAAAAAACAGAAAAAGAGAAACCTCAAGGTGATGCCATTACATACCTGAAGTAAAAGAGACAGAACCCTCCCATACTCTGCCATTAATTGGGCTCTCTCCTGCTCCATCTTCTCAGTCAATTGTTTCACATGTTCCTGGTAACTCTTTTCTTTCTCCTCCATCATCTGCTGATACTTCTTTTGCATTTCCAGCATTTTTGAGCCTCTGCAGATTCAGCTTTCACACGTTGCACTGCCAGGAGGAAAGGAAGAATACAAATTCATGTGGGTGACCACCTTGCTTTTTCTTCTTTGTGAACTTATCTGTCATTGTTGCTGCTGACTGCATATGCCCCACTGAGACTGATTTTGGCTAGTCATTGGCATGTTTGCTCATATGGCTCTTATTTAAGGACCCCAGGTTCTCCAAGAAAAATTATTTAAACTTTTAAAAGCTGTTGAGGCTATCTAGTCTCTTGACTTGCTCCTCACCTTCGATCTCCTTTTCCTTTTCTGTGAGATTCTGGTCTGTCTGCAGAATTTCATTCATCACAGAATCCCTGTGCCTCAGGTATATCTGAAGAATTTCTTCTCTCTAGGACCCAGAGAAAATGGCATTAGTGATAGGAAATCGCTGGAAGTGCTTATTCCTATTTTCCCACCATCTTTTCCTTTAGGAAATGCTTGCTTAGCCCTGGTCCCTGTGCTGGTCAACATGCCCCTGTCACAGGGTGGGCACATATTCCAGGTTGGCCAAGCCTGGCATCCGATGAAGCAGAATCCTTTGTAAGAAATTGATATAAATATAGATTGAGAGTCTCTGTTCTCTGACTGAGGGCTCTACTTTTGGGGCTGTAGGTGCTGTGGTCCCATATGGGGTGAGGAATGAAGCCATCATGGAGAGAGCAGATCCAAGGAAAGGAGGTGGAAGGAGACCAGGAGGAAGGGAAGTGTGGGTTTGAGAGGAACAACAGAGGGACAGATAAACGCTGATTACCGGTATATCCTCGTAGGGTCCAGGAAGATGTTCTGTCAACTTGACTATAGCCTCAAATAAGAGTTTATAGTCTCCTGGTTTAGAATAAGCCACCTTATTTTTATCTTCTTTTATAATATGGTTGATATATGATTTGTAATCCAATAGTTTTTTCTGATTCTCTTGAATAATGTTATCTTGCCTTTCTTCTATCTGGGCCTTTAATGTGAAAATAGGAAGTAGAAAGAGTACAGAGAAAATATTAGCTTGACCTCAGCATTTTTGGAAAGGTTTCTCAAAAACCACTCTGTGACCTCTATAAAAACTAACAGGCACCTCAGCAGGACCACATCCTTCCTCCTGATCCTGTCTTTCTATTGAAGACCCTTTCTCCTTGGAGGTGAAGTTCATGGCAGAGATTGCTAGCTTTATGTTAGCATTTATGCTACCCATCTGCCAGTCACAGTGGGCCATGGCCTTTTGCACTGCAGCTGAGTTCTCTATCTGGGCCGAGGCCAGGGTTGTGTTCTCCATGCAGGGCAGGTCCCCACTACTTATGGCATTGACATAGGTCAGGACTAGGTTCTCTAGTCCTACAAATACACCTTTAGAAAGAAACTTCTGCTTTTCAAATTGGACTAGTGATTGCACATGGAAGAAATGTCGCTCAATGTAAGCTTGCTCAAGATAACTAAGACTACATTTTTCTTTTCTTTTGTCTATAATATTAAATTGTCTGATAACAGCGAGCATGTAACTTGATGAAAACTCTGATGATTACTGGCATGCATTTAACTAAATTATGAGAAAGAGTATTAGTTTATGCATGAATGAAAAAAAATGTTCAAACTTTAAGTCAATCAAAATAAAATTGGTTCTTCTTACTATAATAATAACAAATAGTGGTTTTTGTCATTTCGGAGTCTAGTAAGAATTTTTTCTCTTGTGATAAATACCCATTTTATTTTCTAGCAGTACTTTGCTTTCTGAGACCCTAATCCATATACACATAAGAGAAAAATTACCTGTAATTTCCTTTGAAATAAATGGTCTACATCATTGAAGGAATTCTTGATGAACACTTCAATGGCCTCTTTCCTACTGGCCATGAACAGCTCCTGCTGCTCTTGGAAGTCTTCAGGCAGTTGAACCTTCTCACCTATCAGCTGCTCATAGTGGGTCATGGCCTTTTCCACTGCAGCTGAATTCTCTATCTGGGCCAAGGCCAGGACAGCGTTCTCCATGCAGGAAAAGTCTTCTTTATTGATGGCATTGACGTAGGTCAGCACCATAGTCTCCAGCCCTACAAATAGAGAGCAAAAGATAATGTTTGTTGTAGGTGGGGTGAGGAAACAGTCCATCCTCTATAAATCTGATGGTATCTCTCAACACTCATTTGGCTCACAGCAACTAGAAGTTTGCTAGAAATGCACACTCTCAGCCTCTGCTCCAGATCAACTGAATTAAATCCTCCTCTGGTGAGATCTTGGGTGATGTGGACACATGTCAAAGTGTGAGAGCCTCTGTTCTAGACACCATAGACCTATGTTTATTGAGTATATGTGCTTTATCCCTAAGCACTATTAGGATAGAAAATGTACCTCTCATTCATGTCTCTATCATAAGTTCTGGTCGTGGTAAGCATTTATAAAATCAATATTTGTGAAACAATTAAAGAAGTCGTCTGCCCTGGCCAGGTGGCTCAGTTGGTTGGAGCATAGTCCCATGCACCAAAAAGTTGCGGGTTTGATTCCTGGTCAGGGCACACACCTAGGTTGTGGGTTCAATCCCCATTTGGGGCACATGAGGGAGGCAACTGATTAATGTTTCTCTCTCACATCAATATTTCTCTCTCTCTCTAAAATCAATGGAAAAATATATCATTAGGTGAGGATTAAAAACTCAAATTTAAAGAAGGAGTCCTTGATTTTATTTATTCTAGCAGGACACTGTCCAAGAGATCTTTCTGTCATGATAGTCATCTGCCATATATGCTATCCAATATTGCAGCCACTATCCATGTAATCAGAATTTTTTAATTTATTTAATTTAAATTAATCTACATTTAATTTTAGATTAATTTAACTACTACACTTTTCTTGTAGCTATTATATGGCATAGTATAGGTCCAGTTTAATAGGTCAATTTTAAGCAATAGAGCTTTTTAATTTGTCCTTTTCTACCCACGAATTATGACTAATAAAATATATTAGAAATGTTGTGTCCCCTGGAATGTACCAGAGTAATCTACACTAATAAAAGAGAAACATGGTAATTAGCGTACGACCGCTACCCTTCCCATTGGCTAATCAGCATATCCTTATGCAAATTAACTGTCAGCCAAGATGGCGGCCGGCAGCCAGGCAGCTGGAAGCGAACATGAGGCTTGCCTGCTCCAGTGACTGCAGACTCCAACGTTCCCCGCCTGACTTGCCGGCCTCTGAGTTGCAACTCTAAGCAACTATGTACTATGTTGCAAATAAGAAGCTAAACAAAACCCCAGAAACCAGCTTTCAGCCTGC